ATATATATATATTAATTGCACACTGTCATTTATTTATCTATCTGTTTTATCAATTAATTCTGGAAAATTCCAGAGAAAGCAATACAAGCAGAGTAAGCTTAAATGAATGAAGCATTGTCACAGTCCAGAACACACAGTATGTGTTTAGGATTGTTGGGCAGTGGAGTGTGTTGTGTGCAGGGAAGTGGAAATCTGACTATTCAGTGGTGCTATTATGTGTAAAACACTAAGGAACATCATTTTAGTTTTGAACTGAGTGTTTGGCCAACTGTAAGACCACTGTAAGTTTGGCCTGAGTATGAAAGAAACAGTTACGTGACAGTTCAAAAGTCTGGGGTCAGTACGATTTTAAAATATATTTGAAAGAGTTTTTTATACTTGCCAATTTATTTCATTTAAAATACAGTAAAACTGTAATATTGTGAACTATTATTAAAATGTAAAATAACTGTTTTTAGTTTTATAATTTAAAATGTCATTTAATGGCATAGCTGAATTTTCAGGATCATTACTCCAGTCTTCAGTGTCTCATATTCTTTCAGAAATCATTCTAGTATGCTGATTTGGTACTTGAGAAACATTTTTTATTATCAATGTTGAAAACAGTTGTGCTGCTTAATATTTTTGTGGAAGCCATGTTACATTTTTTTTTTAAATATAAATCTTGTGTTTTTGTCTTTACTGTCATTTTTAATTAGTGCTGTCAAATGATTAATTGTGATTAATCGTATCCAAAATAAAAGATTTTGTTTACATAATATACGTGTGCATACTGTGCATGTTTATTATGAATATACAGTATACGCAAATACACACACATGCATGTATATATTTTGAAAATATTTACATGCATTTACATTGTAATTTCATATAATTTATATTATTTATAAATATATTTAATATATAAACATTACATTTTTCTTAGATATATACATGTGTGTGTGTATTTATACATACATAATCAATATACGCAGTACACACATATATCATGTAAACAAAACTTTTATTTTGAATGTGATTAATCACGATTAATTGTTTAACAGCACTACGTTTGATCAATTAAATGGTTAAAATGGTTGAAATCAAAGCTTTTGAACAGTAGTGTATGTTATTCCTAATTATTTATGAATGGTATATTTGTTGTGAAAATTTCAGTGATTCATTGTCTTCTTGAATTTTATAGATGTCGTGTCTGGTAAGTTTAGTATTTTTCTTGTAGAAGGAAGCACAGCTTATTTAGCCGTCGACTCACCGGTCTAAAGAAGGCTATAGAGACTAGATGTGACTCGTCTTCAGATTTTTGTTCTGACAGAGCAGGGAACATCTTAGTGGGAGAGTAGAGTTCAGATAAATATCTGAGAAGGGGAAAGAGAAGTCTGCCTAGCAAAAGAGAGGAATTTGTAGGTTGCACAGTTGGAATTAGATAAAGGTTTACGAAATGAGAATTCAAAACTGTCACTGGATGGTATCTTTCAAAAGATTTAATATATACAGTTTAGGTACTTGTATGTACCTTTAAGCTAGTAACATCTAGGGAGTTTGCAAACAACATATTTTGAGAGTGTGAAGTTGGTCATCTTGTTCATTGCCGAAGTAGTACATTTTGAGACAAAGTGTTGTCTTGTAACATGTACCTTTAAATGCATATTGATAATAATCTAATAATTAAAAAGGAATTTTTTAAAACAACAAAGCCATTATCTAGATAATAGAGCAATATTTCCTTAAATATGGCAGAACACTGATTTTGACTTTGAGTAATGCTGAATGCCTGAAGCCATTCTTGTAAATGAATGTATATCAAATCATATATCAGTTAATTTCGCATGTGAATAAAGTTAGACAGAAAATTCATAAATATTTTAAAACATTTTATACACAAGAATATAATTAGTAAAAATGTCTTCAATTTTTCAATCCATCTTTTGATAAACTAGTATTATTCTTGTCTTTTTCATTCCTTTAAAGAATATAGAGAGAACACACATTTTACAGTACTTAGTATTTATTCTGTTAATGGTTGTAAATTAATTTTAAATAATTGTATTTGAATTTTTCCCATTTACATTTTTTTTTCTTCATCAGACAACATTCTCACATAATATTTATGTTACTGTAACATATTACATTTCAGTTGAACTGCTTGGTTCAGATTGTGATGTGTAAAATTATGTATAAAAATGATTTAATGCAATGAATTTGTCTTGATAAAGTCTACAATACTCTTTAAGTTTAATGTCAAAATTAATATAATGTGTATGCCTCACAAATAAATTCCCTTTAAAAAAAAGTTAAAGTGACGTGACATGTATTGTGACAAGTATTGTGACCCATACTCGGAATTAGTGCTCTGCATTTACCCATCCAAAGTGCACACACACACAGCAGTGAACACACACAGTGATTGATATAATGTTGTGATATGATGATGTCTCTTTGCAGCCAGATAGACAAAAAATATTTGAAGTGAAGTGTGGCCAAGTATGGTTACCCATACTAGGAATTAGTGCTCTGCATTTATCCCATCCTAAGTGCACACACACAGCAGTGAACACACACACAGCAGTGAACACACACAAATCCGGAGCAGTGGGCAGCCATTTATGCTGCGCCGCCCGGGGAGCAGTGACTTACCTCAGTCGTGGTATTGAAGATGGAAGAGAGCGCTGTACATTCACTCCCCCCACCTACAATCCCTGCCGGACCTGAGACTCGAACTCGCAACCTTTAGGTTACGAGTCTGACTCTCTAACCATTAGGCCACGACTTCCCCGGAAGTCTTTTTGCCAGTGAGATGTGCTTTCTTTAAGCAAAATACATGTATTTTTAATCAATTATAATTTGGATTGATTTGGGGGTAAAATATCACTGTGCCCTGTTTTATGAGATTCACCCATCTTTGTAGTCACATGGTTATTTAGGTTCCTTTGCTCAGTGACATGTCCAACACAGATTTTTATAGTTATTTAATCTGAGGGTTTTTAAACACTTTTGTGTGGCCATGTTAAGTTTATTTAAGGCCATGGAAGATTATGTTTTACAGGTGAAGCACCCAGAAATCTGTTGAGACAGGTAATGTTTATTGTTAACAGGACAACACACAGGCTTATTACACAACTTCCACTAAACGCCTACAGGAGTCATAGCGCCACTGAACCTCCTCAACGGTGAGCATCTTTGACAAAGACTGTCTTTGATTAAACCTATGTGCTAGTTAATATACCTGAATTCTTAAGTAAATAGTTGATAAATATTTAATAAGGTACAAGTTATCTTGTTTCTTCAGACTCTGTCTAGTCAAACAGAGAGGATGGGACTCAAAACTCTTTTGTATTGTTTCACAAACTTTCATTATTTACAATAGGTTAAAGGTTGACTACATTAAAAGCTGCAGAAAACTTCAGAGTGAATTGGACTGAGGTATTTACAGCTCTTTTTAGTCTTTTCTGTCAGTTTTGTAGGCATTCACTGCACATACTCCTACACAGAAGTACTGAGCTTGCTCTTTGAGCCCCAGTGAATACTGAAAACCAAGACCTCTCA